GGTCAAACCAGTCTTGGACAATAGACAGGTGTTAAGCATTTCATTTACCATTAGTCTATTAAATTTAAAAATAAATTTAAAAGAGAAATTGTAACAGAATTTATCTGCCATTAATACTGTTTCCTAAATGACAAAACAAGACAAAGTAACGAAAAAAAAAAAAAAATAAAAAGAGCAGGATGTCAAAAAAATAGAAATGGTATAATATAGCCCAACTCTGCTTAACAATTGTTAACATTAAAGTGGTTAAAAATCTATATATCTTGGTTCCAATTTAAACTTAAAGATTGTGTTTTTACTTAAAATTGATTTAGATTTAAATTTTAAAATATTGTCTCCCGGATCAGTTTAAAAATTTGATAACACTTCTGTCAATTTTAAAGATAAATACAATTAAATTTCTAATTCTTAGTTCGAACAACATAAAAACAGTAATCACTGCCTTTATTGCTAAAACTTTGGTAAACTTAACTTTAAACAGTAAAATATCTACTTAAAATAAAGATTCATTTAAATAATTTCTTAACTTTCTCTAAATTCATATGAAACATGAAAAAGAATAGTAAAATAATTCCATGTAAATATTTATAAAAGAGTTAAAGTACCTTGTTAATTAAAGACAAAAATTCTAAAGTTTTAAAATGTGAAAGACTCCATCCCAATTTGTCAGTTAAAAAGTAAGAAAAAATTGTGCAAAACTTATAAAATACAGCAAAATTTGTTAAATCTAACCTAATAATGACTCTTAATTGTTTGAAATTTTTCTTTTCAGTAAAAATGTTTTTTTATTTATTTTTATTTCATAATTTTGACAAAACTTTTCAGTTTTTAGCAATAAAATTTGGGCTTTCAATAACTTGGAAGTTAACAATACTGCATTGTTACGGTGTCCGTGTACAACATTGATTCATTACTTGCTGTTTCTAAACGTTAAAACACTACAAAGATTTAACATTGGCAAGTCAGTATAACTAACTACCATACTTGACACAGACATAACTGGGTTATGAGGGGAAGCAAGTTCACACTGTTCTGATAATTTATTGGTGCTTCAGAGTTTGTATCCCACAAATATCCCTATGCTTTTGTTAGGAAAAAAATGACAAATCATTCCCTTTTTAAATTTCAGAATTGGATAAAAAATCACAAAGTTATAACGTTCAGATTTACCAGAATCTTTAAAGTGTTCTATCCCAAAATTTTGTTTTTATTTTCAACTGAAAAAAAAAAAAATTTCTAAATATAGCCCCCTCTGTGCCAAAAAATTCCATTGTAAGACAACAATTTTGATTAAAATAGTAATCAACTTAATGATTATGGTTAAATTAAGTATTATGTCCTTACGAAACATTTCAAGTTGAGATGGAAAAAAAACGATAAAAATTTTATAATTTTTTAAACTTTTGACAAATGGTAATACATGTTTATGCTTGTCCTTCTTCGAAGACTGTATGTTGGCCTCTTGAAGTCCAAGTTTTTTGTTGTTGTTGAGTTGCTGTCTAATTGAAGTCAAACCCACATCATTTTCATTAAAAATGAAGTAAAGAACAGTAAAAGATTAACTGATAACATTGATATATTGACTGTTAAATTAAATTATTCCTTTTCTAAAACTTAATACAGGATTTCCCCAACCATACCGACCTTTTGTATAAAATCTAAATATGAATTTTAGATCAAAATATAACATTAAACAAAAAGAAGTCCATACACACTTCAAAGATTTAAAAAAATTGTCAAAATCACATTCAAGTTAAAAAGATAGACTAATTAAAAAAGCCCAATCGTAAGTTTTATAATTTAGTTTATTTAAGATAGCCTCCCATAAAATAACTAAATAAATCTTAATAGAAAAAAGACATGCCTATATAAATTAGTCACATATAATATTTCTTTGTTGGGATGCTATGGAATAAAATTACTCCCACAAATAAAAAATCCCTTAAAATAAAATACAATTATCTCCTTACCTGAAATTTGGCAGAGTTAAATAGTGATTTAAGGTAACATTATACAGGAATTTCTAAACATTGAGACTAAATTAAATAATAGGGAGCAAATGTTCCTAACTGGTGAAAATACCAGGGTAAATAAGACTGGTCAATTAAGGTATCAAGAAATTAATTGGACTATTTTGCCATTTTGATAATTATTTTTTTTGTTGTGTTGCTGTCTTGTTGAAATGTACTCCATATCCCTTTTTATTCTTACCATAAATATCAAATCTTAACTTTCATGTCCTTTGCATTTTTTCAAAATTAGTTAACATCAATCAAAAGGAACCTTTTAACATCTTATAAACGCTTCCTAATAATTTAATGCTTGAAATAAAAATAGAAGAGTGTTGGGGAAAAATGATCAGCATTCATTCTTTTTCCCTGTCTATAACTTTTTAATATTACATGAATAGCATTAACTAAATCTGATTAAGATCACTATTTATCAGTTTTTATCCATAATTTAAAAAACTGATTAATTGACTTCTCCAAACTCAATATTGTAAATAAACTTTAAATCAGACCAATTTTTGTTTTCATTGGTAAAATAGTATTAATGCATAAATAAATCAATGAAATTATACCCCTCCATGAAAAATTCTTTCAAAATTATTTTGTAAACAAAAATTCCAAAATAAAAGGATCTAACTGATATGGCACAACCTGTAACTGGTTCCTGTACTTAATTTAAAATATTTCTCTATTTCTATGTTAAGTTCTATTTCTGTTGGGATTCCATGTTTCGAAAATTGGTTCTCATTTGTTGTCTGTTCCTTTTTCCTGGTGTGACCTTTCCTAGTTTCCTTACTTTTCCACATTTCTAACTCTCCATAGAAAACTATAGTTTGCATGATATATATGTGAATAATTTTTATGATTTTTTTTTTCTCTTTTTTCAAATTTTCGCCTTAAATAAGCATGTTCATTTTTTTTTTAACTTTAAAAGAAATGAGAATACAATAATTTTTTTAATTTTTACATTTAGACTTTTTTCATCAGAAATATGTTGACACACAACATTTTGATACACTTTAGAAATCAAATGCAAAGTTTAACAAATATTTTTTTGTTAACATTTAAGCATATTTAGTCAGAATTTTTTTTTCACACAAAATTTGTTTGTACATTTTAGAAATCAAATTAAATTTACAAAAAAAGATCTTGCTTTTAGGCATAATTAGTCCTGAAACCTTTTTAAACTAATCATTTAGGTACATTTTGACATTTTATCTGCACATGTACAATGAAAGCAGTCGATCATTATTAGTTTCATTATAGTATTTTTAGATTTGCAAATTTTTGAGAAATATTATTTTCTTAAGCAAGCATGATCTCTCAGTATTGAAGATAGAACACCAGAATTGAGGACTTGTAAATTCATTTAAAAAGACATTTTATCAAAATTGTTCCAATTCAGGGGGAGATAATCACAGAACTGAAGACTTCTAATGAATTAAAAAACATTTCATCAAAATTTTTCCAATTCAGGGGGAGATAATCACAGAACTGAAGTCTTCTAATGAATTAAAAAACATTTCATCCAGATTTTTCCAATTCAGGGGGAGATAATCATTGAAATATGAAAATGAAAACAGAAACTTTATTCACACAAATTATCAATTCATTATTGTGAATCTTTAAAATTGCAATATTTATATCATGTATTTAGATGCAATCATTATCAAGTTATTTTACAATGAATTTTTAATGTTATGAATTTATAGAATATTTAAAAAACTAAAATTCTGCAAAAGGCATTTCCCCCCAAATTCATTATATAAGTGATCAATGAAACACCCATTTAGACGCTGAGTTTAAGATTTCCCATTAGTATAAAAATGAGTTGTAGAATGATTGCCAATGAGACAGATATCCACTGCAGACCAAAGTAATAGCTACCATGCTAAAAGAGAAATTTTTTAGGTAAATCTTTTATGTAAAAGCTTTATAACAAGCTCCCAAACAGCTGATAGTAAACATATTCAGCAAATTATTAATAAAATAACCCTCTCTTTTACTAAATTTCTATTTTAAATAATTTTTTTTTTTTAAATATGTTGAAAAAAAACTTGCAATAAATCTCAAATTCAAATTTAAAAAAAAACACACCTTTAAAACTACTTTAGAATTAATTTGGCAAATTCTGAAATAAAACTGCATGTTTAGGAATGCGGATGTAGAATCGAGGAAAGATTAATAGCTCTTGATTTAATTAAGACAAAAACTACAGTGGATGTGGATTTTTCTAGTATTGACCAGTTTTAAATGTATTGACAAGAGTTTTTGGTTTCAAACCATATATAATTTATTAATTATGGTTAAATTAAGTATCATGTCCTTACTAAATAGATAAAAGTTATGTTAAAAACAAATGGTAAAAAATGCAACTTTTTTTAGTTTTAAAACTTAAATATGGTATTGATACATGTACGTATCTTTGAAGACTGTATTGTATGTTGGCTTCTTGAAGTCGTTTATTTGTGTTGTTTAGTTGCTGTCAAATTGAAAAATACCCATATAATTTTCATTTAAGATTAAGCAAAGGATAATAAATAATATTGACGTTGTCTCTTGGTATTGAAGATAGTACACCAGAATTGAAGATTTCTTAATGAATTAAAAACACACATTTTATTAAAAGGTGTTCCAATTCGGGGGGAGATAATCACAAAATTGAAAACTTAATGAATTAAGAAACACTATTATATCAATTCAGGGGGAGATAATTACAGAATTTGAAGACTTCTAATTTATTAAAAAACACATTTTATCAAAATTGTTCCAATTCAAGGGGAGATAATCCCAGAATTGAAGACTTAAAGAATTAAAATAAATATTTTATCAAGATTGTTCCAATTCAGGAGGAGATAATCATATATTGAAATATGAAAATGAAAACAGAAACTTTATTCAAACAAATTATCAAATCTATTCTTATGAATCTTTAATATATATCTTGTATTTGGAATGCAATGATTATCAAATTATTTTACAATGAATTTTCAATGTTATGAATTTATAGAATATTTAAAAACTAAATATCTGCAAAAAAGTATTTCCTCCAAATTCATAATATAAGTGATCATTGATTTATACATTTAAATGCTTAATATAAGATCCCCCATTAATATAAAAATGAGATGTAGAATGATTACCAATGAGACAACTATACACCAGAGACCAAAGTTAGCTACCATGCTGAAAGAGTAATATTTTACGTAAATCTTTTTTATGTTAAAGCTTTGCAAGCTCCCAAATGGCTGATCATAAACATATTCAGCAATTTATGAATAAAATAACCTTTTCTTTTACTAAATTTCAATTTTAAATTATTATTTTCTTAATAAATATGTTGAAAAAAGCTTGCAGTTTAAATCTCAAATACGAAAAATAAAATCCCTCCTTTTTAAACCAGTTTGGAGATAATTTGGAAAATTGTGAAATAAACTGCACATAAAAGATTTGAGATATAGAATTGAGAAAAATTTAATAGCTCTGGATTTAATTAGATAATTACTACAGTGTAAATGGACTTTTCTAGTAATTGACTAGATTTAAATGTATTGACTTAAATGGACAAATTGTACGAGGACATAGTGTGGAGACAGTGCAATAAAATATTCAAATAATAGAACTAACAGGAATAGACTAAATCAACTGTAAACCAGTAAAGTGAATGATGAACTTTTATAATGATGTGACCAGTATTCATGTGGATGGACAGTGCTAGTGGGATATTATACTGATAAATCCCCCAGATTCACATCACAACCAGGTCTGAAGCTCAGTTACATGCAAAAGACAAGGTAATTTTACACAAACTACATGTTGTAGATGTTTAGTCATTTCATACTCGGACTATTATTAATGTCCTAGTTTCATATAAGCCTAATGGATTTTTTGTGTGTTCATTTAGATGTCTAGCACTATTCTTAATTCCACAACATTAAATTATACACAGGGCACCGAAAGTATACATTGATTTCGTTTTTAGTATAGAAAATATGGAGACATTTTCTAAAGGAGCAATCCCAAAAATATATCCAGAAAACATGTTTGAGTAACATGAACCCGACTAAATGGAGGGTTACCTTAAGTGCTGGGAAAAGAAAAGGAAGGTCTTGTCACCTGGTGTTAGCAGTTCCTATTCCAATGTGACAAAATTACTCAATAAATGTGGTATGATTGCCAATGAGACAACTCCACCAGAGACTTCAAATGATGTAGAAGGTTATTAACTAATGGTCACCACACAGCCTTCAACAATGAGCAACACCCATCTCTATAGCAAGCTATAAAAGACTCCTAAATGACAAATGTAAGACAATCAAATGAGAAAACTAACGGCTGGTTTATGTACAAAACAATAAATAAAAAACAAATATAAACTGTTACATGCATAAAGTAAATAGTAGAAAATCTATACTAGTACTGTACTCGAACATCAGCCTGGTAAATTAAGAAGAAATTATAAACCTGATAAGATATGTATTTACTGCTAGGATAAAATGATGAATGACTTATTTCATATATGAGAATTTTTTACTGAAACTGCAGAATAGAATCATCTTTTTTTTCAGATATCAAAGAAATTTCAAGACATGTAAATGATCTATTGACATAAGATCTAAGGAAAGTAGGACTTGGAAGTAATATATTATCAACTTTAAGGTAATTTAGTTAATACATGTAATCATATTAATGATAAAAAATTGATCTAGTTTATTGCTCTTGTTACAATTGATATCTTAAGTGTTGGTATTGGCTGTCTATCCTTCATACTGTTTTGGTTTCTGTCTTGACCAAGTTTGTTTAAAGTTTGAAATTTTGATTAACATTGATACTAGCAAGTTTTGACAACAAATATTGATACTAGCAAATTTTGACAACAAATAATTGATACTAGCAAGTTTTGACAACAAATATTGATATTAGCATATTTTGACAACAAATATTGATATTAGCAAATTTTGACAGCATTCATTGATACTAGCATGTTTTGACAGCAAACATTGATACTTAAGCAGGTTTTGACAGCAAACATTGATAGTTACTTAAGCAGGTTTTGACAGCAAACATTGATACTATTTTAAGTTTGTTAGATAATTTTAAGGAAGTAAAAATAGAAACACATGACATAAGGATTCTTAATTTGAACGTATATACAATTGTTCACATCTTTGTCATTTGAATATAATGGATAATTGTCTTACTTGTGCAATTATACCACATCTACATATTTTTTGAGTGAAAACAATGACAATTTATTGTGTTAGTAATAGAGAGATGATTAGTATACATCAATATGACAGCAACCCAATGACAAAAACCTCAAAGACGCTATAGAGGTTGTATAGTTCATTTCATAAAAGTTATTTTATCTAATATTTATTTTGAAGCCTTTTCTTTAATTTTGACTGCCTTTTTCAGCTTATACAATATGATGATGATGGAGACCTTCAGGTTAGTATAGTATTCATATTAACACTAATAAATTTGATGCATAAATAATGAGTACATGAGATGCTTTTAGATTTAATAAATTCATTGACTGCTTATGGTTGATTGATTGATTGATTGGTGATTACTTTACACCACATCAACACAAAAAAGGCTTTTATTGCAGAGAGAGCTATTTCAAATATTTTAACAAAAGATTAGTTTTATAAAAGTCAATTTACTAAAACCAAAACAAAATAACTTCTTTTGAAACATTTGTAAGGCCTCTGTGTTTTATTTGGTAACGCCATGCATGGATAAGTTATAGTGTTGGACACATCAAACATATTATTATTTTGTGAATTTAAATTTTCATGTTTTAAGTAACATTTTGTTTTCTATTTGTAGATAAATTGTGCTTCAAAATTTACTAATCAACTGATGCAGAAGAATGAATTTTGTTGATGGAGGAACTTGGAAACAATTATTTACAAAAAATATTTGTAGTATAACAATTATGTTTAAATCAAATAGAGAGAGAGAGAGAGAGTGGAATGAAGAAAAAATGTAATATCTTATTTATTTGAATTTTGTACAATTTCATGTGGCACTACTGAATACATTTCAGTTCATTTGTTATTAATATGCAAAAAATTTAAATGTGACTATATATATGTATAAAAAGTAAGTAAAACTTTGTATATTTTCGTTAGGCAATATACAAGTAATTTTTTTTTAATATTTAAATAATAAAACCTTTCATTTTCTATGAAAGGACAAACAGGGAAGAAGGGAAAAGTAGCTAATTTTATGAGCTTAAGATTGTATTCATTTATATTGTCTTGTATTGTAGAAGGTTAACTTAAGTATTCAGTATAGTACAAAATTCAAAATGGCAGGACTGCAAGTGTAGAATAATCATTATAGTTATCATCACAAATATGTTCAATCTAGATGTACAACACTTTTTTTATAAGTGTTTTTGTAAACTTTTTAACAGGAACACCAGTTGTGATGAATGGGAAGACTGGCAGGCAGAGATTAAGGGGTAAGGGGAGGGAATACCCCTGCTTATCTTTTCATAATGGTTAGTTCGCTTGGTAAAGGTTTTGTACAAATATTGTACATATCAGATGTATACATTTTGTTAAGAGAGTTGTTATTTAGAGCTCTGTAAAAAAAAAAAAAAAAAAGAAAAGAAGAAAAAAAAAAAAAAAGACTAATAATTGTAAACAGAGTTCTAGATAATAGTTGGGTGGTATAATATGTGGGTTACTATTTTTAGGTATATTTTCACTGGCATTTTTTTTTTTAGATGCATCTGATATTTTTTTGTGTATAAAATGTTTTGTTATTTTTTTTATTACAGAATTGCTTTAGTGCCTTTGTGACTAAATGAGCGTCCATTGTAATGAATAGAGAAACTAGCAGGCTGAAAATTAGGGGTAAGGGGAGGGACTACCCCTGCTTTTCTCTTTATACTGGTTAGTTCTGTCACTGCATGGAAGGCCAATAATTTAGAATATATTAGTTCTTTTATTATATATTTTTTGTTAGATATGTTATATCAGATGTATATAATGTAAGATGAAAAGTATTATTTAGAGCTCTGTAAAAAAATAAGCTTGTAAACAGTCAGGCCTAGATAATGCATTAAGTGGTTTGGTCTGATCTGGGGATTTTAAATTTTATTTACAAGTCATCATCTACAAAAATGCATCTGATATTATAATTATAAGCCCCTTCCCAATTTTGTGTCCTCCCAAATATAATGACTACAGAATAATGGGTCATGTCACCTTTATTTTATGTTTCTGATTCATTTAAATTTAATAGTCACAAAAAATGTAAAATATTATGTGTTTTACTGTTTTCAAGTAGAATTACATTAAACTAATTTCCCTGTTGGTTAGTTTATGACAATTGTCAAGTTGAAATTTCTGTAAGAAGTTAACACCCATGCTTTTTCCCTACAATGCATTAGGGTTTTTTAAGACAGGGTGCATGTTTTTCAATTTTGTCATATTCTTATGTCTTAAGTAGTAGTATAAGTTAATTGCTACATTAATCTCGTCTCGTTTTAATAAATAACAATTGCTATAAACTGTTTTTGTTTTGTTACAGTAGAAACATGAATAAAACATCTTTAGTCCCTGTTCGAAGATATAATAAAATTGAGAATGGAAATGGGGAATGTGTCAAACAGACAACAACCCAACCATAGAGTAGACAACAGCCGAAGGCCACCAATGGGTCTTCAATGCAGCGAGAAACTCCCGCACCCGGAGGCGTCCTTCAGCTTGCCCCTAAACAAATATGTATACTAGTTCAGTGATAATGGACGTCATACTAAATTCCAAATTATACACAAGAAACTAAAATTAACAATGATACAAGACTTAACAAAGGCCAGAGGCTCCTGACTTGGGACAGGCGCAAAAATGCGGCAGGGCTAAACATGTTTTTTGAGATCTCAACCCTCCCCCTATACCTCTAGCCAATGTAGAAAAAACAAACGTACAACAGTACGCACAGTAAAACTCAGTTTTAGAGAAGTCCGAGTCCGATGTCAGAATAGGAAACAAAAGAAAATAAACAAAATGACAATAATGCATAAATAACAACAGACTACTAGCAGTTACTGACATGCCAGCTCCAGACCTCAATTAAACTGATTGAAAGATTATAAGTTTGTTTCAGTTATCTTGAGTTGAGTGTAAGAGTTTTGAGTTTAAATACCTGGCTGGGTCAGACCACCAAAGACTTAAACACTGGTATTTGCTGCTTATCTGCTGAGTAAACATCATTTAGTAGTAAGAAGAAAGACTGGTTAACTTGGAGTATAAAATTTTAGGGTATAGTGATCCTGTCAGTGATATTTCAGAATATGGTGATCCCTGTAGATTTTGAGGTTAACTTGTTGAATGCCAGACTATAGATATGGACTCAAATCAGGACCCTGTTATTCAGTGATTGTCGTTTGTTGATGTCCATATTTGTTTTTCATTCGTTATTTTGTACATAAATCAGGCCATTGGTTTCCTTGTTTAAATTGTATCATGTTTTGTTATGTAAGGCTTATATAACTTATATTGTATGGATTCTGCTCATTGTTGACGGTCATACAGTGATCTGTAGTTGATAATATCTTTGTCATTTGGTCTCTTGTGGATAAAGTTGTCTAATTGGCAATTAAACCATATCTACTTATTTTATATCAAGATGGTGCATGAAAGGTTTATTTTTCAGTCAAAAAAAATTGACTGCAATTTGAACCCTTGGATCTGCCACTGTTCGGGTCACATGTAAAGAGAGAATTAAAATCCAGATTGGATTTGAAGTAACATTTCTAAAGATTAATCTTGAGATACTAAACATTTTCTAAAATTTATGAGTTCTGTATAACTGATGAAACATAAATATTCATTTTTGTTAAGTTATTTAGCTGATTTCAGTTTTTCACATTTTCAAATGTTGCTGGATTTTGTAATAATAAAATGATACTTTTGAAACCGGTGGAGCTGTTTTCAGATACAATTTATATGATTTGGAATTTTAGTTTTTATTTCAAAGCAAAATCATTCTTGTCTATCAGTTACAGATCCAGGATTTTGAAAAAAAAGGGGGGGGTGGCTAGTTACTGTTTAAACTGGTACTTGTAAAAAGTCTATAAAATTGAGAATGGAAATGGGGAATATGTCAAAGAGACAACAACCCTGCCAAAGAGCAGACAACAGCCGAAGGCCACAAATGGGTCTTCAACGCAGCGAGAAAATCTCGCACCCGGAGGTGGTCCTCAGCTGGCCCCTAAATAAAAATGTGTACTAGTTCAGTGAAAATGGATGTCATACTAAACTCCAAAACATATAAATGAACTAAAATTAAAAAACATACAAGACTAACAAAGGCCAGAGGCTCCTGACTTGGGACAGGCGCAAAAATGCATTTATCATATCTGTAACTCTTATAAGTGAGGCTTGGTCCCCCTAAGTCTGTCTCTGTATATTTTACATCTGTTAAGAGGAAGTTCACTAGAATTTGTTTCATGGGCAGTATTGAATATTTCATGAAAATATGATCAGAAAAAATGCACTTGCACAACATAAAAATTTCAAAGTCACTGAATCAAGACAAAGGAAATTGAACCTGGTCAAAAGTATCATTTTATTATTACAAAATCCAGCAACATTTGAAAATGTGAAAAACTGAAATCAGCTAAATAACTTAACAAAAATGATTTTTTTTTCATGGAAAATGGACTTCAAAATGTTATTTAACAAGGTATAGAAAAGTAATTTGAAGGCAAATAATAAAGTCCTGATTTACTATTAATATGAAGCTGTTGGCATACTGTTTCAAATTCTAGCCATGTGCATCAGTTTTAGGGGAAAAGAGGCTCCTGTTATCATCCTGCAGAGACTGTTATATTGTTGTGAGGTGCTTGAACCCTGAAAGTATGCTTCATTTTCAGAGAGCATACCAGGTTCAATTTCCTTTGTCTTGATTCAGTGACTTTGAAATTTTTATGTTGTGCAAGTGCATTTTTTCTGATCATATTTTCATGAAATATTTATACTTGACTATTCATAGTAATATTTGGCATACCGTTTGCATACATGTTAACTGTGGGGTCAATATGAGGTACCTGTGACCTTATTATACATGCTTCAATGACTTTAGAATTTTTACCTTGTTCAAAAGTTTAAAGTTTTCTAGTTAAATATGTGAAAGAAGAGTTATTCTTATTAAAAACCATATATTAATGCTGTGCCTTTGACTGTCTGTAAGCACTTCTATGTCTTACAATAAGTCAAGATTCCACTTGTAACAGATTTCAAAATTTTTATGCACTGCAGTCTTAATAGTTACATAGAAAAGATACCGGTAAGTTCATTTTGAGTTTTTGTAAAATTTGGACAAAAATTGCGGTAAAAAACTTAGTTTTTGCTAAATTACAACTTTAAGAAAACAAATGTGTCCTAGAATTTAAAAAAAATTGACATAGGTTATGACATGCTATTCAAAATTGATTCTCAATGACAAAAATTTGAAGCATTAAAAAGCAAGTCATTGATCTTGTCTGTGAATGAAGATGAGGTTTATGTTATTTCAAGAAAGAAAAAAGTTTCCTGTAAACTTACAGATACAATATACAAGTAGTAGGTAGGCAAATACAATTGTATATCTGAAAAATATTTTACACAGACTATATAGGGAAATGGACTAAAACATGCTTAACCAAAATATCTTAACTTAAATGTTCTTCACCAAGGATGTCCATAAAATGTGTTTCATTTTGTAAGATTTTGTGGTAGTGTAGTGTAGTGTAGAGAGTCGAACAGTCATAACTGTCAACCCCAATTGAAAGGGCCATCACAAGCACATATTCTACACTCCAAAAATACTTAATTCGATTTAACTCGAATAATTCAAGCCCTTTCCGTGTCCGATTTTCTCCCACACGAGGGCTTGAACTCCTTATGATCATTGGCCGCGTCGCCTGCTCTCTGTGAGAGAGAGCCAATCGGTGGCCATCAGGATAATGAGTCTGCGCAACTGTCTTGTAATTGTCTTACCAAACACGTGTGTTCAATCAGAGACATATAATTGTATTATATGTCTCTGGTTCAATTAACACAAATCCGATAATAATTAATTAACATCAATTAACATCAGTTTACATCATTTAACATCAATTAACATCCGGAACTCCTCCTTCTTTAGCTGCCAACTTAAGTCAAAATTCCCATATTGCATAGCAGTGTGAATTTTCCGGTTGACGGTCTTTATCGAGGAAGACGTTCAGGCGTTAATGTAGCCTTCGTAGATCAGCGGAATATAACGACTGAATTATTCGGGTTAAATTCGATTATTTTTATTTGCTTGATTACAAAATTGATATTAATTCATTGCAAATAGCAGTGCGGGAACTGGTTAAAAAAATGAAACAGTTGTTTTACACGAAGAACATACTAGAACCGAGATGGACGATACTTGTCGGATTTTTTTGTGTAGTTTAGACAGCCAACACGTAGTAGAAACATTCAAATGAGGAGAAGAGGTCTTAAGCTGAAATGTGGTAATGCTTTGATTGTTTACTATTTGAAACACGGACCTGAAAAGTAGAAGAATTTATAATGTCATTCTTAAGAATTTCCATGTGGTATTTATGTCATACCACCACCATCACATTGTAGCCGGGCTATTTTGTCGACAGGTACTAACACAAGCCTGAAGTTTGTTTCTTGCTCTAAAATTCGGAGTATAAGTAACGCTTTTATTGTCCCCTGCGCAACGGAACATAGAAATTCAATGCGTCCGTCCGTCCGTCCGTTCGTCTTTTTGTCCACCTCAAGTTTGTATTCGTAACTTTTCCTGAACAGCTTGATGGAATTATTTGAAACTTTTAGAGAATATTAATCACATAATAATGTACGTTAAACTTAGCACCTTCCGTTTAATTCTTCATCTGAATGATTTTTGTGGTTACAGTAATTATTTTAATTTGTCTCAAGATCTGGTTGGTTTTAACTAATAGTGACGAATGAGATCGCAGTTAAGTTCTTTTCGAACATCGAAGTTAAATCTATATAATAAATTAGAATACAATCAGTATCAAAAGCTATAATTGGTCATCCTTTCTACCATGTCTACCGTAAGTGTTGATAAATTCCACATAAACACTTAAAACTAATCAAATAGTATTATGTTCTTATTCAATACTTCAAACGAACATAACTCATTTATAAAGAAAAAAATCAACACCGTTATTTGGATATCAGCTTCGCCCCGACAGCACAGAAAGCTTATTTTAATACAAATATAACATAAATGTCCAGTTTGCTG